TGTTCAGCATCTTAGCTGTGGAGGGCAGTGTCACTGGCCCTCATATGTGGGATCCGAACCGGGGCCCTCTGGCATCCCAAGCGAGTTCTTAACCATCGTGCCACTCGGCTGGCCCTATCTAGAGAATTTTTGATGGAACTTGCTATCATTTTTCCTGATTGACACGTTTGGCCATGATCATCTAGAAGCCCTTGCTAGCTTTGTTGTTCTGCAAGGAGTCTGTGTTTATTGGTCTCCTGCAGTGAGCTAGCTTCCTGCCATGTTCTGCCGTGGCAAGTAGAACCACACTTGCAGTATTCTACCAATAATTCACCAATACATATATATTTTGTGATTTAAAAAAAGATCACCAAGATCTAGGAGCAGAGAACTTGCTCAAAGTTACAAAGTCAATCACAGGTTCTAGAAGTCGGATTTCCCGATGCACGTTTCAGAGTTTTGTAAATAACGTTATACGACCCCTCCCCAACTTCCTCTTCCCCCCAAAATTATACTATAGTTTCTCGTCTTTTGGGAAAATGTTTACTGTCATCTTCAGAGGCATGGTTGAGTCATTTTTTTCTAATTGCTTGTTTTTTTCTTTCCCTTTCTATGATGAAGACCTAAAAAGTGAGTAAGCACTTTGCTTTTTTTTTTTTAACTTGTGCTTTTTTATGCTGAGTGTGAATTAACTGAATGTAAAAAATCCCAATACATTGTTTTGTTTTCTTAGATCCAAGTTAATCAGAGTGGAGAATTTTGAGTCCTACTTTAAGAAACAGCAAGCTGACTCCAATTGTGGGTTCGCAGAAGAATATGAAGTACGTGGTTGTAAATATTATGTTTTTCACTGCTTTATGTTTTTCCGGAAAGTTGGAAAACTGCCCATTTTTGTTTTATGGTGAAGCTCTTGGTAAGAGGCGACCCTCTTAGAGGGGCAAGAGGCTCTTCCGTGTCCCCTGGGGTCACACTGTTAACCGTGTTGGCTGTGAACACTTAGATGGACCTTCGATTCCAGTGGATTATATGTTTAATCTTGCTCATACCTGAAGATTATGCAGAACTGTATAGAAACTGTGAATTCAAGTAACAGGGCTATTATCTAGCGTGATTAGGAGGCTGTATGAGCTGGGAATCTCTGGAGCCACCCGAATCTGCAAGAGGCAACGAGGAATCAAGGAATTCTCCCCCCAGAGGCTTTGGAGGGAGCCTACGCTCCATTTGTATTGGTGTCCTGTGGCTGCCAAAACAAATGACCACAAATGGGTGGCTTTAAAAGAGAGAAACGTATTCTCTCACAGATCTGGAGGCCAAACCAGGTGCAAAATCAAGATGTCAGCTGAGCTGTGCTCCCTCCAAAGCCTCTGGGGGGAGAATTCCTCGTTGCCTCTTGCAGATTCGGGTGGCTCCAGAGATTCCCTGGCTTAGGGCTGCGTCACCCTAGTTTCTGCCCGTTTCCTCCTCCTCCTTCCTGTGCCCCACTTTCGTGTGACTGGTATAAGGACACTGTTTTTGGATTTAGGGCCCACCTGGATAATCCGCGAAGATGACATCTCAAGGTTCTAATTCATTACGCCCGCAAAGCCCTGTTTTGCAAATAAGTTCACATTCACAGGTTGCAGGAGTTAGGACGTGGAGGTGTGTTTGGGGTCCACCATTCAACCTACTACACAACTCAAAGCCCAGCTCAGTGGCCACCTCCTCTGTGTGTTTTTTTCTGATGCCTTTCGGAGGATTTGATTTCTGTGTCTCCATGCCTGCTTCTCCTGTGCCATGGTGCTGGCTACCGATACCCTGCGCTTATTTAATTCTGCCTTGTTGTAACATTAATTATGTCTGTCTACTCCTCTGTCCCAGGTCATAAGCTCCTCGAAGGCGTGGATTGTCTTTTTTCTTTTAACCTCTGAATTATTTTCCGAGGTCTGCATAACCAAGTACCACAAACTGGGTGGCTTAAAAACAACAGACAATTGTTCTCTCACAGATGGAGGCCAGAAGTCCCAAGTCAGCGTGTTGGGCAGGGCCATGCTCCCTCCGAAGCCTCTGGGGGAGGATTCTGCTTTGCTTCATCCAGTTTCTAGAAGCCCAGGCATTCTTGACTTGTGGCAGCATAACTCCGATACCTGCCTCCACCTTCGTTTATCTGGCTCCCCTTGTGTGTCTGGCTCTGCAGCTGTTCTCTTATAAAAGGGCATCAGTCACAGTGGATTGAGGGCCCGCACTGCCCCAGTATGACTTCATCTTATCTTGATTCCATCTGCAAAGACCGTAGTTCCAAATAAGATTGCATTCACAGGTACTGCAGTTTAGAATATCAACGTATCTTTTGGGGAATATAATTTAACTCATAACATCTCTGCATTTCCCCCTTTAAAAAAAAACAGTTTTATTAAGGTACAATTACAAACAATAAATGGAATATATTTATTTATCCCCCCCCCCATTTTACTGAGAAATAAATGACACACATCACTGTATAAGTTTAAGGCATACAGCACGATAGTTTGACTTATATATATTGTGAAATGATTACCTCAATAGGTTTGGCTCACGTCCATCTTCTTATATAGATGTAATAAAAAGAAAGAAAAAAATAGAAAATTTTTTTTTCTTGTGCTGAGAACTAAGTTTACTCTCTTAACAACTTTCCTAAATCTCATATAGGGCATATATGATATAGATAACACTACAGTGTTAGCTAGAGTCGTCATGTTGCATTCCAATTTACTCTGTCCTGCTCTGTGCTCAGTATAAATAGTATTTGAACACTAAACTAAATGAACAACTCATTTGTTTTGTTTTCAGGATCTGAAGCTTGTTGGAATTAATCAACCTAAATATGCAGCGGAACTGGCTGAGAATAGAGCAAAGAATCGCTATAATAATGTTCTGCCCTGTAAGTTGTTTTCCCTCGTGATCTTCCCTTTTTTTGTCACTAGCCATTGCCGCTCTATTAGTAGAGGGGAGGGAACCAAGATATAACCAGCCACTTCCACAGTCATTCGTTAGTCACCTACTGTGTGCTAAGCTCTGTATGTAGGCACATTCCATTGAATCCAATCCTCACGACAACCTTATGAAGTAGGGAAAATGAGGCACAGAGTGACTAAGTGACTTGTCCAAAGTCACACAGATCGTCATGGCAGGACCACGCTTAGACCAGGTCTGTCAGTTTCATTCAGGGACAAGGCCAGAGCATGTACTGTTAACCCCTCTATCTCTCAGCCCCTTTATTTCAGTTAATTTAGTTCTGGAATGAAGAAACAGGAGGACAGGTGGGGAGTAACACTTTCTACTTGTCCAGACACGTCTCTGATGGGCTGAGTACACTGCACAGCGAAATACGAGTTATATTTGGATTCACTCCTGTTTTAAGAATTAACAATGCCTGCAGCTCTAACCTACAGGCATAACAAAGAGTTTAAAATGAGAATGATATATTACAGCATCCATTGAGATGAAATGTAAACCCTCCTCCATAGAAAGTTCTTTGTAGATTTTCTTTTAGGTGGGGATTCAGACACAGGAAGATCAGTGGATCGCAGCTGTGTTCTATTCAGCTGAAATTTATAGGCTCTCCTGATGATTTTTACACTAGGATATTTAGAAACATTGTCTTTTTTATTATTTGGAGCTGGTTTTTCTCTTCTCCTGGCCTCACATGTTACCTTCTGTTTAGATTCAGGACTTTCTAGCTCCTGGTGGGTCCCTTCTCTTCATTTTCTACTCTTGTATTGACGGCAGACACTGACCCACGTTCTGAGAGAAATGCTTTTAAAATGAGGCTGGTGGGACCTGCCCTTCTGGGTTAACTCGGGATTATTGGCCTGCTCTCATGACTGTCTGTGGAAAGTTTCAGATCCAGAATTCGGGTATTGTTTTTATTGGGAGAGTTTAGGCTGAAACTCACGTTGGTAACTGGGTTTAGAACTGTTATATATTTTGTCCAGGGGAGGGTGAGAGAGTGTACAGTCAAAGATAGGTCGTGCTGCCTACAGCTCAGCCTGACATGTGGGTCTAAGGATATTATTTTATTTCTTGAGTGGACCAAATTCGTATGTGTGTTTTTAAGATGACAATTTGTAGACAATATTAGAATTTTGTGTTTTAGACCCTCTCACCCATAGTAGTCTGATACATTCAATTTATTCTTGAATTTGGTACTGTCATTTTATAAAAACATTTTTATGAGAATAGAGAAAGTATGAGATGACTTCATAAATTATATAAATGTCTAACCACTACACTGTACATCCGAAACTAATATAAAATAATATTGAATGTCAACTATAGTTAAAAAAAATAGTGACAGGGATATATAGTACAGCATAGGGAATATAGTCAATAGTACTCTAATAGCTATGTACAATGTCAGATGGGTAAAAGACTTATTGGGGTTATTACTTCATGAGGTATATAAATGTTTAATCACTATGTTGTTTTGTGCACCTGAAACTAAGAAGAAAAAAGAAAAAAAAGGTTAACCTGGGTCTCTACCCAGCCATGGTGGAAAGGGCACTAGAGTTGAATTATGACTGCCAGTCACCAGGTGGAAGTGGTTGGAGAAGTCACTTAATCTCCCAGACCCTCAGTTTCCTCATCTGTAACATGGGCATAAAAGCTTGCAGGGTGGCTCTGAGGAATAAGTGAGATTGCTTAGGGCATTGCCTGGCTCATGGCTCACACCCAAAGCTGCTAATAGCTGTGTGTTTGTTTCATCGGACAAAGTGGTTAAGAGCTGGTGCTCGATTGCCTGGGTTCGATCCTTGACTCTGCCACTTACTAGCTCTGCCAGGTAATCACCTAACTTCTCTGTGCCATGGTCACATAGGGTGACTGTGAGGATTAAATACGGTCATGTATGTAAAATGCCAGCCTGTGCACCTTCAACGTGTGACAGAAGCCCCTGTGTTGATCCTTTTCTTCTTCTTTTTAATTGTATGCAACTCTCTTGGAATATTAACTTCTAAGGGGGACCTTCTTTGTTTTCACAGATGATATTTCCCGTGTCAAACTTTCAGTCCATACCCATTCCACTGATGACTACATCAACGCCAACTACATGCCGGTACGTGGGGGATGGTCTCATAGCGTTGGCTGGCTGGGATGAAATCTTCAGAGCTCCTCTTTCTGTGTCTTTGCCATTGAGTGTGTGTTGCTTTCCGTTTTTAGGGCTACTACTCCAAGAAAGATTTTATTGCCACCCAAGGACCTTTACCCAACACTTTGAAAGATTTCTGGCGTATGGTTTGGGAGAAAAATGTGTATACCATTGTTATGTTGACCAAATGTGTTGAACAGGGAAGGGTAAGTATCTTTGTAAAAATTACTCTTAAATTCATTCATATTTATTTTTACTGTGGTGGAAGGGTATCTTAAAAACCATTTGTCTTCAAAAAAAACACAACACCCCCAAACATCCAAACATTAGCACTTCTATTCTAGAAACTTGTTTTCTGTCTTTTTCTCCTCTAAGTGAAAAGTTAAAAAAAAAAAGTCTTTAAAAAAACCCCATTTTATCATTACCTTCCTTTGTTGACAAATATCACAGTTCTCTATTTGTGAAGTCACTGCTGCTGCAGTTGGTTAATAGCAGGAGCTGGGTTTGTGTGTGGAGAAATTCCCAGCTTGGCCCTCCGTCGGCTCTGTGAATGGGCAAAGCCCATCCTGTTGCTACGCAACCAGCTTCTTCTTCTGTGAGATGGGGTACTCGACCCACTCGGTGATTTTCAAACTTGGTTTTTAGCGCTGGAACCCTTTCTTGACGCAAAATCTCAGACTTATCCCCAGATAAGCCTCCGCATTCTCTTCTCCCCTTGATGTCCTGAAATCCTCCAGCCACTTCCATGAAAGATAAGATTTCCTTCTAGTGATAAAATCCCAGGTTTCCATAAATGCATCTGAGGAGTGTTGGAAAACACATGCTAAATTCAGAAATTCTGTTTCTGAGGAGCAGGACCTCATGTTGCTCTGTGAATAGGTTTGTAGGTAGGTTCATTCGTTGATGAGTAGGCAAGGACTCGAGGCCCTAAGCCGGTGGCTCTCAGACTTGAACATGCATCCGAATCACCTGGTAGTGTTTGTCATTCAGAAGGTCTGAGTCGGGACCCAGGAACTGCCTTTCTGACGGTTCCCCGGGGCTGCTGCTTCTGCCGCTCCAGGCTGCACGCCTGGAGTAGCGCGTCCTAGGTGACAGTGGAAACCTGTCAGGCGTCATTTCTTTTAATGTTCTTTGTTTCACTCTAATTGACCACCTGAGTTTCCAGCCCCAAGTATGTGTGAGGTCTTGTGTTTCAGGGCTAGGAATGGGGAAAGGAGAGGTAACAGGGAACAGTGAGAGATGGTTCCTATCTTCACGTTTCTTGTGATACAGAAGGTTGGGCTCTGCACCCCCTTCTTGCATCACGAGAGCAGGCCGTTATTGCAAACGGAAGAACATGCATTATGAATGCAAATAAACTTTATGGTACTGTTCAGCCCGGGGTCTCGCGCATGGAACATTCTTATAGACCAATGAAAATGACGTAGTATAGTTAATGGAGAACACGAGGAGGGATTTAGATGGGTCCTTGTTCATCTTAAGTTGGGAGAGAAGTGGTTGATACTGACTCTGGGTGAAAGGCGAAGGGAGCTGGTGTATTTTCTGCACTATATACTCCATATGTGTTCTTTCCTGTAACAACCCTGTGAGGTGTTATTGTAATTTGTTGATGGGGAAACTGAGGCTCAGAGGGCTTAGGGACTTGCCCACAGGTGGCAACAGAAGTCCAGCTGGTTAAGAGGCTGAGCTGGACATCAGCTGCATGTCAGTGTGTGTCCCAGTCCTGTGTTCTTTCTTTGAGCAGTGGTCACAGAGTGGGACCTTTTGAAAAATACAGATCCGCAGCCTAAGTCAGAATCTCTGGACGTGGGACCCAGATATGTGTTTTTAAAGCAAAACAAACCTCCCAGGTGAATCAGATAACCAACTAGGTTTGGGGACCACCTGTAGTAGAGCATACCAGGCAAGGTTGTGTGAGAGGGCATGTGTGTGTGTGCGTGCACACGCATGTGCGTGCTTTAAGTCATTCGCCAAATGGGAATGCAGATATTCTCAGCGAGCAGTTGTTTCCTGATTTTTATTTCTGTCCACATTTGCCCACCGACTTTATAAAAATCAGACCCCAAATGACTTAATTTGGTCCTCTTTAATGGTGTCTGTATTTGTACTGCAGTTAGCGTGTGTCTGAAAGTATTGGGGAAAGTTCTCCTTTTTTCTACCTGCACGGGGTTATGGGTCAATCAGAGAGGTTTAGTGCAGGGGAGAGTTGTGGAGGGGCTGCTGTAGGGCCAAAGGGAGCTGGGTGCGACTGTGTCTTTTGTGAAGGAACAGCTGCTGTTCAGCATTCAGTCAATTTTCATGTAGAAATGGGGGCTCAGTGTTGGCCAGATCTGATTTTTTAAGAGAAGCTAGAAATCTGGGTTTTTATGAAAACATCTCAATTTAAAAAGAGTTGGTAACAAATAAAAAACCAATTTTAAGGGTCAAACAGAACCCAACCAAAGGACTGATTTAGTCCCTAAACGCCAGTTGTCAATATCTGGTCTCCCTTGGGAGGCTTTTGTGATGGCCTCAGATGGTGTGATCTGAGTTTTTGTATAAAAATGCAATTTCATTCTAGACCAAATGCGAAGAGTACTGGCCTTCCAAGCAGTCTCACGACTACGGGGCCATAACTGTGGCAATGACGTCAGAAATTGTTCTTCCTGAATGGACCATCAGAGACTTTACAGTGAAAAATGTAAGTACGAGGTCAAGATGATGAGGTCTCATAAAATTACCACATATTAACTTTTAGGGTGATACTTTTCAGGTTGATATTAACCAATCTTTTTTTTTTTTTTATGCACCAGAAAAATTATTTTGGCTTTCTTCTTTACAGAATAAAACAATTCATCTTTATATATACTCTAAAGCAGCCCTTTAGCTTTACTTTCTTTTTTTTCCCCTTTTTTCCTTTATTTTAATGGGGGAGGGGAACAGTGTTGGGGAATTGGGGAAAGGGAACAGCCAAGTTGTTGTCCTTCAATCTTAGTTGTGGAGGATGCAGCTGGCTCAGCTCCAAGTTCAGTCACGCTGCTCAGCTCAAGGCCCTGTGTTCAGTTAGGTGAGGGTGGGTGGAGCCACCATCCCATGTGGGAGTTGAGCCGGCAGCCTTGTTGTTAAGAGCACAGGTTCTATCCACTGAGCCATCCAGGCAGCAGCTCAGCTCAAGGTGCCGAGTTCAGTCTTAGTTGTGGGCAGCCATAGCCGACCATCTCGACCAGGCAACCTTGTTGTTAGGAGCACGTGCTTTCACCAGCTGAACCATCCTGCCACCTGCTGGCAGCTCAGCAGCAGCTCAGCTCAGGCGCAGCTCACTGGCCCATGTGGGAATCGAACCTGCAACCCTGTTGCTCAGAGCTTGCTCTCGTGAGCAAGCTCTTAACCAACTGAGCCACTAGGCTGGCCCCCAGTTTTACTTTCTTAAGGAGAAATCCCTAAGTTATTGTTGAGTAACATGAACCTGAAAAGCATGGCTCTGCGTCAGTAGCTCCTTTCCTCCCACTTCTGGGTGACTTGCTTATAGAGTTTTTGTTAAACCAAGGCCCTTTGGGATTATTTGGTTGGAAATACGATGTCAGGAGTTACCATTAGCTGTTGGGAGCTGTTGATGACAACAGTTTCATTAATAGGATTCCATGGCATGGCATGTAACTTTCATAACTTTGCCCTCCAAAGTTATGAAAACAAATCCAATTATATTGTGTAGGGGCTCTAAGAAGTCAGTCTACGTGCCCTTTCTCTTTCTTTAAGGATGTTGAAAAGTAGAAGCAGTGTCAGGAAGGGCCACTGATAACTTTTGATGGGCGTGTAAATTGGTATAACCCTTTGCAGTTTATGTCAAGGGCTTCAAAGAAAATATCCATTCCCCTTTGATATGGTGATTCTAAGTTTGAGAATCTGTCCCAAAGAAATAATCTGAACTATAGGAGAAGAAGGCTTATCATTCATAAAGATGAATCTCAGTGTTATTGGTAATGGGGGGAAGATTTGGAATCCATGCAAATATCCAGCTTTTGGAGATTGGATCACTAAACTTGAGGCTACTAGTCACTGCGTCCTTGTTCAATGAGAGCTAACTGTTAGACTACACAATTACCATGAGGAGATGTTAGAATGCAATTAAGTGAATTATACTAGGAGATAAAGTCTTATGCATATTATGAATAGTGGATAAAGGGAAAGCCCGGAAGCAGATTCCGTGGAGTTGAATCGAGTGGGGGGTTGGTGGGTTAGGTTCTAGTTTATGAGAATTATCCTTGAAGATTCTTTAAGTCATGGATGCAGTGCAGTATATTAAGTATTACGTATTATCTCTTTACTAATTGCTGTGTCTCAGTGCCTCTGGCCTCAATTAAAATTTCAACTCCTCTCCTGGAGGTGCAGTCAAAGCTCTTACCATGCACTGAATTGGCCGCATAAATAATGCAATCCACGATAGTTCAGAATTCTTTAAAACGTCACAATTATTTCTGTAGATTTCACCCATGTTAAATGGACGGACTTATCCTTGGCGGCTTTCCCTGCTTGGGGTTCACCCTTGTGGAAGAGAATCATGGGTAGAATTGTCCACATCATTTAAAAAATATTATTACTATTATTATCTTTTAATAATAACTAAACACCAGACTTTATTTGGATCTCCCATTTTCCCACTAAAGCCTTTTCTTGTTCCAGGATCCCCTCCAGGGTTTCACATGGCATTTAGTAAAATATTACTTTTTAATTACAGAAAATGCATGAGTATGTTTTCCACTTGAAAAGCGGGAACATAACAGACAGTGCTAGACATTTCCGTGGACCATCATTCCCTAACCTGGGCCTCGTCATTCCTCTGCAGAGATTGTACTGGAAAGTCTGACTTTCTCCTCTCTTACCTCTCATGGCGGGCTTCTTTCTTTGAGTGAATACTCTTGGTTAAATTTGTGAATGTTATGTTTGTGCGTCATGAGACTTCACAGTACTCTCTCCCCTCTCCCTGCCTTTTTTCCTTACTGTTTTCCACATTTTGAATAATGGGAATGCACTGCTTTTATAATGTATATGCATTTATACAAGTAAGTAAGCTTTCAAGGGTAGCTGTCATAAAGAAGACGGAAATGCCTGCAGTCCAGATGTAGGTGTGTGTACACGGGTGAGGGCAGTGCCCAGCTGTGGGCATAACGCGTCCAGTGGAATCAGGGCCAGGAATGGCCCAGCCTGGATGGAGCTTGGATAATTAAAGGTACATGCTTCAGTCCATGGTGGGAAACCAGTCCGTGTAATAACTAACAGTTATAACAAGGTCCGCTGTCTATCGTCCGTCGGATGTTGAAATAGATTCTTTTTTTGGGGGAGGGGGAGGGTCGTTTCTCAAATGCCTACAATTCTAAATATTTCCTAGGTGCTTGCTAGTTGCCTATCACTTTATTAGATGCTCTGGAAGACATGTGAGTTATGAGGCAGTTCTTGCCCCATGCTTGTGTTTGTGTAAATTTATTTGTGGTCAGTGACATTCCCAGGTAGGCTTAGGGATGGGTTTCATGAAGCTCTAAGGGGGTGTGGGTGTAAGAATGTGAGCACACTATTGGCAGAAAACAGGTGGAAAAGGGAAGAGGTCTTGAACTCAAAATCAGAGGATGAAGGACTTTTCCATCTGGACTGAGTGTTGGGGAAGTCACCTTTCTTCCTGGAACCTTTTCTCCCTTGTCTTTAAAGGGGGATAATAAACCCTCCTGCTTGGGCATGTTGTGAAGATTTGGTGAGCACATCGAAGTCCATGCAAACACTTTATGAGCTGTTGCACCAAAGTAAAATTCTAATTTTTAGTTGTAACCTTTCCTGTTTAGCTGCCTTTCAGCTATCTGGTACAGTTCAGCATTCAGGCACTGCTTGATTTCAGTCGTCTATCTGATGTGGTGAGGCAGCCTTCCTCTCCAGATCTCACCTTTTTTTTTGGCTTTTAGAACCAGACAAGTGAGAGTCACCCTCTGCGACAGTTCCACTTCACCTCCTGGCCTGACCACGGCGTTCCTGACACCACAGACCTGCTCATCAACTTCCGGTATCTTGTTTGTGACTACATGAAGCAGTGTCCCCCTGAATCGCCAGTTCTGGTGCATTGCAGGTAGGCAGATGGTGGGAAGTCTGTGTGACAGGCTTCCAATGCAGTTATAAATATGGACACTTTTGAAAAGCAAGGTATGGGATTGAATGCAGTAGGCATTTACAGATTCAAGAAAGGTTTGGATAAGGGACCGTGGACTTATTCCCTAAGCCCTGAGACAGGGGTTAGCAATGCACAGTGTGTAGGCCAGATCTGGTAGTCGCCTGTATTTTTTTTTTTTTTAAACCATAATGTATTTTAATTTATTTCTTATTTATAACATTTTCTTGTAAAATATTTCAACCTTACAAAAATATAGAGAATAACAATTTAATAAAAGCATAACATACTGTATATGCTTTCTTTTTGTTAATGATACGTTATGGACATAAAGTCGCTACTTACCAGTCTCCTGTCCCGTTCTTACACAGATGAACGTGGTTCTAAAGCTGATCTGCGTCATTCCCTTGCATGCTTTTATTTTTATTACATACATATATTCTATGGTTTTATATTGCTTTAAACTTTTACCAGATTTCATCATGGATACATCATCCTGCAACCTGCTTTCTTCATTCAGCCTGTTAGTTTGTTATTTAACAATGTCGAAACATGTAGTTCTAGTTGTTTTATTTATTTAAAACATTTTTTTGGCATACAAAAACTGTCCATAAATTAATATATGCCACTTGATGAATTTGGGGATAAGTATATACCCATGAAACCATCACCACAGTATATTTGGTTGCCTATTTTTGTGAATAAAGTTTTATTGAAACATGGCCATGCTCATTTGTTTACATGTTGTCTTATAGTTACTTTAATGTTACAATGGCAGGAAGAGACCATTTGGTCTGCAAAGCTGAAGATATTTACTGTCTGGCTCTTCACAGAAAAAATTTGCCACTCCTTCCTCTAGAACAGTAAGCTCTAAAGCTAAAGGAATTAATTTAAGACAGGAGAAAAGAGGGGCTTTGCTGCCATATGGGGAATAAATTGATGAAACTTTTCATCCTAGTTTATGGTGGCAACCTGAATGGGACTGGGGTTCAAGAAGCTCTAGCAAGGTGTTTTTTATCTGTGGCATTTGACTCCGAAGGAACTTTAGGACTTGGACCCCAGTCCCAAGCTAGTGCAGTGTGACTTGCTGAGGTTTCAATTGAACAAATGTTTTATGATCCTGGGCATTGCCCTGCAAGCCTGATAGTGGAGGAAAGCAAGATATATATGCAGAAATAGGGCGATGTGTGAGTTGTACAGTAGAGGTAAATGGTGACATGTTCCTTTCCTCTTTCTTTCAGTGCGGGGGTTGGAAGGACTGGCACTTTCATTGCCATTGATCGTCTTATCTATCAGATAGAGAATGAGAACACTGTGGATGTGTACGGGATAGTGTATGACCTTCGAATGCACAGGCCTTTAATGGTGCAAACAGAGGTGAGATCAACATCTGTGTTTGACAGTCCACTCTTCCCGTCCGTTTTTAAAAGATTGCACCGTGTTACACACTTGTGTTAAACTATTTCACCCTTCCAGATCTTTCTGCTCTGGGCTATGACATAACACTTGATTTCTTTTAGATCCTAAACTGACATGGGGTTGAACTACACAATATAGTGACACGTAGTACCGATATCAGCAATGGAGCTACAAACCTAGACAGTATCAGGATTCTTACCCGCTTCACCAAATAATCTTAGCAGGTCTCTGAACTTTGGCATCTGGATTTTAAGCTCATAAAACTAGCATTGTTCACTCCCTGTTGCTAAGAAGCTGTTACCATCCTTAAAATAAGCTAATGAAATGGCCTTAATAAAATATTAATGATGTAAAGTAGCATAATGCTGCTTTAAGCATCAATACAGCAACGTGTCCTCACCCAGCCTTGCGAATGTTGAAGGATGCCGATTATCGTAGCTACAGGACAGTGGTGACCAGTTGAGAAAATGAATACCTAGTATCTACAGTGTCATTTATGTAAGACTGTTGGATTTGGCCTTCCCTGAAATGTTCCCAATAAACATTGTTTTCGAGGCATGGTCTTCACAAATGTATTGGGAAATAGCCTTTCTCCAAGCTGTAGGGTGAATGTGCCTTGGCGAGGATGAGAGCAGAATATTAATTTTGGATCAGGCTGTCGCCCTGCACCAATTTAGAACTCTGAATATGTGCTCTGTTTTTGAGTCCAGCAGGGAATGTTCTAGAGGCCTGGGTACATCTTGTGCTTTGGGGTGACTGGTGTGATGGAAAGAGTGGAATTTCCCTCCTGTTTTGGTCAGAAGAGACAGTTTCTTTTTCCTGCTATAATTCTAGAGTAGTAGTTCTCAATCTTTTATCCTCTTTTGGGAAACGCAGGAATCTTACACGTGCCTACAGATTCTTTTCACGTCCCTTTTTTATATTTTAAAAATATAAACCTGTTGATATTAAAAAATCTGATAATACAGAATTAAATAGATTCTATTTTTCTCCTTTTCAGTTTGGTTACATCTTCATAGGTTTCTTTATATACAGTGTGTACACACACACACACACACACACACACACACACACACACACACACACACGGAATGTTTTTTTAAAATAGAAACCTGTTTTATATAAAATGCTGCCCTGTGATTTTTTTTCCTCTTACAAAATCATGGATATTTTTCTTTTCTTTTTTTTTTTTAAAGATTTTTATTTGGGAATTGGGGGATAGGAACAGCGCTGGAGAATTGGGGGAAGGGGAACAGACAAGTTGCTGTCGTTTTGTTCTTCAGTCTAGTTGTGGAGGACGTTGCTTCACTGGTCCAAGTATGTGGGATCCGAACTGGGGCCCTCTGGCGTCCCA